AAGTAGCAGAGAAACAGGATTTTCCTGCTATTGTTTTGTTACAGCTTCATATCAGTAACAATCACAAGGAACTACTAGATGGCTATACAAGTGGTTCCCTAGTTTCTTTAGTAAAAAAACAAATACTAATGAATTAATGTCTTAAGACAGATTAAAATTTCTAAGTTTATTTGTATCAGAAATTTAAGTATAAATCACTTCAACATTGAGACCAACCCCTGTGGAGTACAAGCTCCTGACTGTCTTGGTTTGTCAGGCTCCTTATAACAAAGAACACCCAATAGCTAATAAACAACATAAATGTTTTCTGGTAGATCTGGGGTCTGGGAAATTAAAAGATCAGGGCACCAGCAGATTCAGTATCTGGTGAGTGCCCATTTCCCAGCTTACAGACAGAGGTTTCTCACTTGTCCTCGCAGAATGGAGAGACTGCTCTGTGGAGCCTCTTTTGTTCAGGCGTGATCCCGGTGATGAGGGCTGCGCTGTGGTGACCTAATCCCCGCCCAGCCTTGCTTCCTCATACCACACGTTGGTGGCTGTTTCACCACCGGAGTTAGGGGAAGACAGAATTCAGACCACAGCACCAGCACTCTTAAAACCACCGCTGTTAGCTAATCAGGCATTGTTAGCTTGTGCTTCCTGCTTTCCTTTTTATGTGCCAAGAAATAGATGCTCTTCAATACTTTAAGTGAACCCAGACAGTAACATTAACTGAGCTTCATATTTCAAGGGACCTATAGGAAATGTGTTTATGATAGAACCCTAATTGAAAATGAATGTATAAAGTCTTGCGAATTGTAGCTCTGGTCCGATGAAATTTCTCTGCCACCAAAAAATCTCTCCTCCATGCCTAACTTTGCCAAGTAATACTCTTTTAAATTTGTCAACATCAGTCTTAATACCTCATTTAGAATAATGAATATAGCTGGGCCTGGTGGCTCACGCCTGTAATCCCAGCACTCAGGAGGCTGAGGTGGGTGGATCATTGGGAGTTCAAGACCAGCCTGGACTACAAAGTGAGCTCAAGGCCAGCCTGAACTGCATAGCGAGACCCCGTCTCAAAAAAAAGACAAAAAAAAAAAGAATAATGAATATATAGAAGGAAATAGAGGATATTATAAAGCTGTGGTGTTTAATATAGCTATCCGTGGTTGTCTAGATTAAAATGTACACTGTCACTCCTCCATTGTATGAGCCACTTTGAAAGTGCACGTACCAGTGTCCTATAGGTAGTGATACCATATTGACAAGAGAGATGCAGTACAACATGGAAAGTCTTGACAGCAGGCTAGGAAGTATTCATAGGTAAAGCATTTTAATTGATAGTGGCTTATATATTTATATTAAAATGACTTCTCAAAAAGAAAGGCAGCTACATTATTCATAAATAAAATCTGTAGTTTTCATTTCATCATGCCAATAGAAGCTACTTTTACATTTATAAATGCTATTTTCCCTAAAAGTCCAACCCTAAAAGATTTGCAAACATAAAACTTCCAAAGGCCACATATGCAGAATTAAATGTAGAACTAATTCAGGAGTTTCCTATTTTGGATTTTTTTAACCAGTTACCAAACTTATAACCTCATGCTTGCCAGGCAGGCACTGTGCTGCTGACCTATATCCTCAGCTCTGGAAAAATAATTTTAAAAAGCACTATTTTTCCTTTTATTTTACACTTTATTTGTGTAGAGAGCTTTTATGGAAAAGAAACCATGCATTAACTTTAGCTTAAATGTCTCATTTCACTTAACATTATGATATCATTTGTCCATTTCCTATAAGTGACTCAAGTTTATCCTTATTTATGGCAAAGTAATACTTCATTATGTGTAAATACATTTTCTATGTCCATTCATCTGTTAGTGAACAGATAGGCTATTTCTAAGATTTAGCTGTTATGAATTGTTCCACTATAAATATAATTTATGTCACTGTAATATGATGTCTTTAACTCCTTTGGGAAGACATCTACAAGGAGTATAGCTGGGTCAAATGGAATTTCTAGTGTTATTTGTTGAGGAATCACCATGGTGATTTTCATAGTGGTGATACCAGTTTATACTCTCACCAACAGTGAAAAAAAAAGTGTTCTTTTTTCACCTGTAGCCCCTTCAGCATTTGTTGTTGGTTGATTTCTTGATGATAGCCATTTGTTCTGGGGCGAGATGGAAGCTCAGTGTTCTTTTTAATTTCCATTTCTCAAATGGCCCGTGTTGCTGAGCATTTTTTAGTGTATTTTTTTGGCCATTTGTGCTACTTCATCTGGGAAGTGTCTGTTCACTTCAGATGCCTGGTTTTTGACTGGGTCTTGAGGAGGTGTCTAATTGTTTTACTTCTCTGTGTATTCTAGATAGTAGTTCCTTCTCTGAAATTTTTTACCATTCTGTAGGTTGTTTCTTCACTCTGTTGGTGGTTTCTTTTCCTGTGCAAAAGCTTTTTTAATTTGAAGTGATCTTTATATGTTGATTCTTGGTGCTGCTTACTGTGTAGCCAGGGATTTGTTCAGAAAGTGTTTGACTATACCTATGTCTTCAGGTGTTTTATCTGTTTTGTCTTCTAGTAGATTGTTTCTGTTCAAAGTTTAGATCTTTAGCCCATTTGATTTTAGTTTAATCTATGGTGAGAGATTTGGGTGTAGGGTCCATCTTTAGCATGTGGACAGCCCGTTTTACCAGTGCCATTTGTTAAAGAGGCTACCTTTCCTCCAGCAAAAGGATTTGACCCCATGATAACATAACAGAGTGTTTCTGTATTTTCTATTCTGTTCCATTGATTCACAAGATTGGAGTTTTTTGTTTGTTTGTTTTTGTTTTTTGTTTTTGTTTTGCCAGTCCAGTGCTGTTTTTATCCACAGTAGCGTTTGTGGTTTAACCTGAAGTCTGGGATCCTGATACAACCCCCCCCCCCCGCCCGGCCTTGTTACCCAAGAGAAGCGCTATTCAAGGGAAAATTTTTCAGGTGTAATGACTTTGTGTATCCCATATTGGATTACATTTCTATCCTACATGTTTTTCTCATTAGCATCTTCTCTATAATGTGTTGTCATTTTTTTTTATTTCTATCTAAGGACATGAATCTGTATTCTGACTGTAGTTCTTTGGTAGACAAAGGTCAACATATAACCCTTAGTGTTGTCATTATCGTGAGGTGAAACCTGTGTCAGTCTTTCCTCCCATGCTTTTAGCTTTATGTACAAAGTGATTGTTCTAACAGAAATATGGTCATCCATCCCTTAGCAAAAATGGTAAAGTAATTTTGTTTTCTATGCATTTTCTCTGATAGCTCTTCTATAAGCCTGAGACCCTGCAGAGCCAGGGAAAGTTTAGGGTAAGCATGGAATATCTCCTGCCAGAAAGTAAAGGGACACTAAAAAAAATAAAATAAAATAACCAGAGGAATAAGGAGTCAGCCTGAAGTTCCAGACAAATCGAGGAAAAATTTCAGCATCAAAATATTTCTACAGTGAATTATAAATCACTTGGTGTAGACAAATTTTAGAGGAAAATGAGATATTGTAGTAGCCATTATTCATTTCCTTTACTTGGTTTTGAAGTCCTATAATGCTTTTATTCTTTTGAATGGTTTTATACTACATTGTTACATTTGATAATAATGTATGTTAAGGTATGCTGAACAATTTTGAAGAAAAGAGACATTATGGTAGCTACTGTTGATGTCTAGTTGTTGTGAAGTGCTGTGTTGCTTGCATTGTTCTGTTCTGATTTGCTTTGATCTGTTCTCTTTTGTTTTATTCTTTTTAAAATGAAAGGTTTTTTAAAAAAAGAATTATAAATCACTAAGAAATAGGAAACTGTGAGTCCATAATGATGATGATGGAAAAACAGATGTAGCGTCAGATAGATGGAGAAGAGAGGACATCTTCTGTACAGTGGAATACTGGCTGATCAGTGTGGCCATCACTATGAAGTTGGAAAATCACCACTTTGCATCTGTTATAGGTGATACTGGCTTAGGAAGAATTATCAATGGATGCTAAGTAGAGGGGAGATGTTTTGACAAGGAGCAGATTGTTTGCATAGTATAAATCATCTTACTGTGGATTGCTGTTTTGGTTATAAGGGGAAAAATTGTAACTCTAAAATAGAAAAAAGCAGTAAGAGACAGAGAACCTCTAAATGTGATTGGCTTGTGAATGCTCGAGAAGGCATCAGACATCACCAGTGTCGCACTCACATGTGAGTGGGCACTATGACCTGAATTACACCATGAGAAATATCAGACAGAACCAAAATGAAGAATTTCCTGTTTTAAAAGTGGCTCGTATTCTTAAAAAATGTCAGTGTCACAAAAAATGAGGTAAGGTAGGATGCGGCAAGATCAGAAAATTGTCCCACATTAAAAGAAACTAAATAGCCTTCAACAGCAAAATACAGTGGATGACCCAGAGCTATATCCTTGAGTAGAAGTGAAAAACATGGGCTGGGGGTTTAGCTCAGCAGCATAAGCGCCTGCCTTGCAAGTGTGTGGTCATGAGTTCTATCCCTGGTACCGATAAAAACGAAAAAGACCAAAAAAAAAAGTGAAAAACATGATAAAAAGGAGATGATTGGTACAATGCCAAAACACGAATATGGATAGTAGATGAGATTAAAGGTATTATGTTAGTATTGAGCTTCCTAACATCTGTAAATATCTATGATTGTATAGTTAGAGGATGACCTGTTTTTTTGTTTTTGTTTTTGTTTTGTCTTTTTCCTTTTTATCAGTACTGGGGATCGAACTCATGACTGCCTGCTTGCAAGGCAGGCGCTTATGCCACTGAGCTAAATCTCCAGCCCCCGGATGACCTGTTCTTAAGAAACACATAGTGCAGTATTAAAAATAAAGGGACATTCTGCCTGCAACTTATTCTCAGATGACTCAAGAAAATAGTTGTGTATAAAGAAAATATAATATCATCTAGGTACTCTCTAAGTCTTGGAACTTTTCTGTGAATTTGAAATTGTTTCAAAATAAAATTGTTTGATATTTTTTAGCTCTTTTTAAGGCACAGAATGATGTGATGACAATGAAGATGCAATCAGAGAGACTTTCAAAAGAGTATGATCGGCTCTTAAAAGAACACTCAGAACTTCAGGTAAGTACTTCATGGATCTACATTTTTAAAAATATTAATTACTTGAGGAAATTATTTTAATTACCCTTGCCAAATCCAGTTGAGGTACTTAACCTTGGCTTTATGATTAAATGATTAAAGAATCCAGAATATGAGATAGTTATAGAGAATTGCTGATAGGCTAACTTACAACATTCCACTTTGGGTGAAATTTTAACAAAAGTATGGAGCCACAAAAGTGGCGGCATTGAAAACCAAACCAGGTTCTAGAAAATTTTTTTTTTGTCTTTTTTTCCTTTTTATCAGTACCAAGGATTAAACTCACGACTGCCTGCTTGCGAGGTAGGCGCTTATGCCGCTGAGCTAAATCCCCAGCCCTGGTTCTAGAAATTTTTAAGTTTTCCTGGTTAGAATATTAGCCACTATTCATAACAAAATGAGGCCAAAACTGATGTTTAGCATCACACTGTTCCTTCTGTCTCAGTGTTTTCGGTATATTAGGACAAGAGACTGCAGCATTTAAATAGGTGCTTTGTCTCCATGACATGTGCAAGATCCACCATGGGAAGCAAAGGAGTCACCTTGTCCTGGGTGTCTGCCTCGGTACTTTTTTATTTCTGAAGTCAGAGTGTACTCAGCATGAGCATCCATATCAGTGTCACACCATTGCCAGGGTGGTAACAATGTTTAGAATCTTGAGGAAAGGAAAACCTCCATTTCTTAAGGCCAGTGTGTACTGCTTAGTGTAGTAACAACTAGTAACTGTAAAAGCTAAAGGTAACTCTTACCATCTCTGAAAAATGTGTAACCATAAGATTCCTAAACCCATTTCCTCAGCCAACCCTCCAGAAAGCCACCTCCAGCTGAAGATTTCACATTCTTGGCAAAGAATGTAGAACACTTTTATAAGTAATTCCTTCCTTTAAAAAAAAAAGTTGTTATACGTACCTGTTTCTTAGGAAAAGGACCTCTTCCCAGATGCACTAAGTGCCGTCTGAGTTGGCTCTTATTTTTTAGGCCTTGAACTAATTTCTACTTGTAGCCCACTCTTGAAATATTTAATAGGTGACATTTACTGAGTGTATGTTCTGGACAAAGCACTTGGCTGATTGATTCATGTAAGCTGTCAGGTTTGCTTCCCATTTAATTCAGTAAAGTAGATTTTAATATCTGTAGTTTGTGAGCTTGGAAATTGAGGACCAGCAATGTTATGTAATTTACCCAACGTCATTGAACTAGAAAGTGGCAGCATTTAAACTTGGCATTCAAAGTCAAGAACTCTTTCTCCAGAACCTCCATCATTAACTATGTTCTTTAGCCTGTGCTGGCCAGGACTGTGTGTTCCTAGATGCATTCTTAGCTCCACGATTCCATTCCTTCCCGCAAGGAGGGAGGTGTGTTTCCCAGGATTACTCATTTCTGACTTCTGGGCAGATTTGCCCAGCGGAAGCACTAGCAGGCAACTGAAAGCAGGAGGAAAGAGACAGTCAGGGCTTTCTCCTGCTCTTTCTGTTGGAACCGTCTCCCTTGTGCTCCGGTGCCTCCATTCTGTGGTCCCCAGCTCCCACAGAGCAGCAGCCACCTACTGGCCTTCACTCCTGAGCTCCCTAACTGTCTTGTCCCTTGTCCCTCGTCCCTCCTCCCCAATGTGGTGGCGGTGGTTTTCTGTTGTTGCTAATCGCTGAGGTACCTCAGCACCCTGTCTGGTGAGTCTCCTCCCATTACCTAAAACCAACTCCCTGTAATAAATATCTTAGGTTGAAGGGTTAAAAACCCTCAGGTCCTGGAACCCTCAGCTGAATCATTTGACATTCATGTACCTTGGCTACTTCATTAGTTAAGTGAGAAGTATAATACATTATAAATACAAAATCATGTCCAAGAAAGCACTTTAAATACCTTGAATCAAGAAAAGGACTGTGTAGCCATAAGATGCTGTCAACTGGTGTCTTGATTGATTACATTTTTTCCCATACACCTAACCCAACTCACACTGTCTAGTCTAAGAATCTGAAATTTAGGTATCATTTATTTAGAGTATTTTCTTCCATGTTTCCTGAATTTTAATGTTTACCTTCAGAAAAACCAAAAGGTAATTGATAGTAAAAAGCTAAATTATTTGTCCTCATGAAAATTTTACTACTTTTTTTTTTTTTTTTTTTTTTGGTGCCTGGAATCAAACTTAGGACTTCTGAGCTATATTCGTGGCCCCTTGAATTTTACTTCTGTTGAAAACCTTAACAATAGGATATGAAACTTCCATTTTAAACAGAACTGTTAAAACACTAAGAAAAACTAAAAGATGAGAAAACTGGCTTCTTTTCTGTAATCAAATCTCACTTTGTATTTTTTAACTCCATTAGCTGGTCACCTTTCTGTGATAAGCACTATATAAATGTTAGAAAACAGTCCCTTCAAAACATGAAGCCTTTATCTTTCCTTATTTGCCCTGGCTGCCTTCTAAAAAAGGAAAAGAACTAGCAAGGGGATATTGGCATCACAAATGTATCAGCGTCTGCCAGTTTTCAAATTTGATTTTGGAAAATCACCCTTCATATAGCGACTGTTCCTTAATAACACTTCCATTAAAGTTTTCAATTTTGTCTTTATCTAAATTGGCCTACTATGTATCAACATGTAAAAATGATAGTTTAGCGTTCAAAATACCTTATCTAATCCTGTCTTAATGTTAAGCTGAAAGTTAATGTCAGGTTGCTATGAAAGCATTAATACTCAGCCTGTACAACAATTTGAGCTTTCAGTGTACAAACAATAGCACTCTGCAATTTTATTTTGAGGTTTCTTTCTTGATATCTAGATTTACTTTACGTCATGTGATTGCCTAAGATTAATTTTTATTTCATGTTCCTCTAGATTTAAATGATGTAGTATGATTATATATATATATATGTTTTGGTATCTGGAATTGAATTCAGGACTTTGTGCTTACCAGGCAGGTGTTTATGCTGCAGAGCTATATCCCCAGGCCCTTACGGTCATATCAGGAAAGTACAATTGTAGAAGCCAGTTCTCCTTTGAGAAAGACCAAAAAATACTAAGCCACCCCAACAGGGTTTATTGTTTTGTTCTGTTTTGCTTTCCTTTATTCTTTCCTTGCCAAAAAAATATATGGTTTGCAGTAGGAGGATTTCAGATAATTTTTATTTGTATTAGTCCATGTTGTCAGTGCATAGTGGTTACACTGGGAATTGATATGTGAATATAACACATCTTAATTCTTACATCCCCGTTCTCATCCCTCCCTCCCAGCTCTTGGACTCAGTAGGGAAATTTAAAACATTTTGTTTTCATGGAGTAACCTGTAAAACAAAAGCAAAATAGGTTAAGCTGTAGAAAAAATGAACTTACAACATTGTAAACATTTCTCCTGTAAACATTTTTTCAAGCAAAACTCAAACTTTACAGTTTTTTGAATAGGGCTTTTTCAGTCCATTTTCACATTTGAGGGTTCCTACAATTAACTATGCATGGAAAAGAAAGTTTTTAAAAATTCTTGTATTTATGAATCTGTTTCTCTTTGCTATACTGAATGTTGTATTTTTTTCTTACAGAATCGTTTACAGAAAGGCAGTAAGAAAGACCTGTGAACTTTATGAAGAAGACTGTGATACACCATGTCAAGATAATAATATTTGTTAGATGGCATCCACAGAAAATTTAAAATTCATTTTGGAGAAATGTACTTTGGCCAATAGTTTCTATTTTTACTGCTACATGTAAGGTGTATAGTAATAATACTGTCAACATATTTGATAGTGTTTCAGGTATATTATAAAGTGTATATTCCAGCTCTTTAAAAACCTACAAGCATGTTAAATACCATATTTACATTTGGTAATAACATTGGCATATGATGGTTATTTACAAATAAAAGAAAAAATTCACTAGCTAATTACTTTCAGAATTAGATTTTTAAGTTGCATGAAACCATTAATAGCCTTGAAAGCTTTGATGCCTTTTCATTAATATAATTGAATGATGAAAAAAAAAAAAAAAGTTGAAAATCAAAGAAAGGGGCTGGGGATTTAGCTCAGCGGCATAAGCACCTGCCTTGCAAGCAGGTGGTCGTGAGTTCGATCCCCGGTACCGATAAAGAAGAAAAAAAAAAAAAAACAAGTTGAAAATAATTGAATAATGATGCTAATGTATTAGAAAATAGGGCTCAATAGCAGCAAAATTGTTTACAGGAACATTAGATAAGGATAAATAATAAGTAGCCACTGTGTTTATAGAAACGACTTAGAGTAATGAAAACCATGACCTTTTTTTTTTTTTTTTTGACTGATGGTACTATGGTTTGCTATAAGAAGACACTGTATTGATAATTATATTTTTGTTACTATTGGACTTTTTTATTGACATTTATGTTAGTACCACATACTTAGTGAGTATTCTGCCTTTTCAGGTTTCTCCAGCAGTAGAATTGACATCTCTTTGCATAACTGTCCCAGCACTGAACTGAGCTTATTTTGCGTTGTGGAATTCTTGACTTAAAAGTTAATACATAGGGGCTGGGATTTAGCTCAGCGGCATAAGTGCCTGCCTTGCAAGTGTGTGGTCGTGAGTTTGATCCCTGGTACCAATGAAAAAGAAAAAGACAAAAAAAAAAAGTTAATACATAATATAGTCAAAAACACAACGTTTTCTCTAGATGTGAAAGTTATATAGATATTACCTCAAGCATATGCACACTGGTTTCTCTGAGATGTTTCTGCATTCTGAATATTAAATATTATTTTTCCATTCAGTACTCATTTAGAGATGATTATAATAATTTGATTTTGTTTGTTTCAGTGTTTAAACATGAAAATCCACTTCCTTGTCTCATAAAGCTCTAAATATAAAAAAAAGGAAAAATAATAACCAGAATTTTTTCTTTTTACTGTTTGTTAAATACTACTGGGAGGTGTTGTTTGGGGATTTGTTTGTTTTGCAATACTGGGGATTAAACCCAAAGAGTGCTGAGCTAGCCCTTTTTATTTTTTGTTTTGAACCAAGGTCTTACTAAGCTACCCGGGTTGGCCTCAGAGTTGCAGTCCACTCTAGTGTCCTGAGTAGCTGGGGCTATGGAAATGTGCACCATGCCCTGCTTCATCCTCTGATCTGTATTACAATTTTAACTCCAGCTTAATGTATCTTTAAAGTTTTATTGGACAGTGGATGAAATGAACAAATACGTAATTTTATTTCAGATAAAAGTCAAGAGTTACTGCTAGAAAACACACATAGAGGAGACATTTAACAAAAGTAAGAAACTGGAGACCATATGGGCTGACAGTACCATAAATAACCAGAAAAGGGAGTGCTGAAGGAGGAGAGAACTGCACAAACGACAGCTCAAGGCGTAGACTTAGAAATACCGAAGCGAGAGCTCGAGGGGTAAACATAAGGGTAGTGAGTATTGGGGGCCTTGGCCTGCTCTGCAGAAATCAAGTCTTTTGCCAGAACAACATACAGAAAAGGAAAAACTGCAGTTTTAGAACTGGCAGAACCAAAATCTAATCCTACGTTCACCACTTATTTAGCCATCTGATCTTTAAAGGAAGTTACTCAGATTTTCCAGGGCTTCATTTTCAAATGTATTAATTATTGTTACTCTCATTAGTATGTTTTGAAAGTCTGTTTTGTTTTTCTTTTCTTCTCTTTAAAATAATTTTTTAAATGGGAATAATAAAGTTAGAATAGTTATTATAAAAACTAAATAACAGTGATTCTCAATGTTGTTCGGACCGTCTAGTTAGGAGAAAGTTGGGGTTCTCTTAGAAGAACATGAAAAAGCTAAAGTTTACATTTAGGGGATCTTAACAGTATTTACAGCTCTGTAACAGGATATCAAAAGTTTGAGCAATTTTCTCCAGGTAAACTGGAGAGAAGTTAGATTTCAGGGTCAGGATTTGAGTCTAGAATTCAGGTATGCTGGATTCCTAGATATTACTGTGGTCTTCGTTTACAGACGACCCTTAATTTGCTAAGCCTATAATATTGCCAGGCAAAGCTAGAGTTTGAACAGACAGTCTGGCTTCAAAGTCTGCACTTTTCCACTGTAAGCATACTAATTCACAAGCTGGTTGATATTCTTCCTATTACTTGCCTGACCGGTGATACTATCAAACCATGTTAAGTGAGAAAATCTGTATCCAGTGGATAGACTTACACTATGCAATAAATCATTTTTTTCATTGTCAGTAATGACTTCTTTATGTATTAGGTTTTATTGCCATTTTCTGTGGGAATTACATAGGTTTATCAGACTTTCCCTACTTGAAAAGCTGCATTAGATTGTTATCTAGGAAGGAGCACTGAAGTTCTAGTTATCCACTCTAGAACTTGGCAGAAGTCAGCCCTGTTGCTTATCCAGCTCTGTCTTGAACCCCAGTGCTGTTAACTAGATTGCTGCCTCGTTCCCTTTGTGTGGTTGCGGGTGAACCCACATGCGAGGCAAGTGCTCTGCCGCTGAGCTAAACCCTCACACTGCCTTATTCCACGGGCCTGTGCTCTTCTCTTGGGTTATTTGTAGTACTTTGGGAACTAGAATCCCCTTCCACTAACTGGGTCCTGCCCCTGAACCTCAATCTAGAGCCTAAAACTTAACTATCTTCCAAGGTATTTCCTGTTGCCACTCGTCTGCCCAGAGTTTAAAACACATCCTCAAGGAACATTTATCAGTATCTAGAGACCTGATTGTCACCAGTAGAATGCTACAGGTGGACAGAGGCCAGGCATGCTGCTAACTCTGCTCTATAAGGCACATAATGGCCACACACAACAGAATTATCCGACCCAAACTGTCCGTATTACAGAGGCTGAGACACCCTGTGATGGATGCTTGCAGCAGAGGGTACCAGTTGTCATCTGCCAGTGTCCATTCTTTAATTTGTCTGATGTCATTTGTGACAGTAGTTTTTGTATACACCTGCTAAACATAAAGACATTGCCATGTCATTACACGTAGTGCGGAGGATTATTATGAAGTGGCAACTTCTGTGTTGCTTCCTCTATCCTGCTGCCTGAAACAGACACATGCCGTGATCATGAAATTGAAGATAGCAAAGCAGAACGAGATAGAAAGAAGCTATAGACCTGTCAACACGGAGCACAGCACACTTGCTCTGAATTGCTCTCACATTGTTCAGTAAACAGATTACACCAGGTGTCTTTAATATGTTGTCTCTCCTAACATCCTAGACATGCATTTAAAAAAGACATTTTCAACATGGAATGAAACCATCAGCCTTTGTATCTTGCCTTTAATGTTAGGGTCCTGCTCAAAAAGCATAACCTCCGCTGTCTGCATATTTGATGTTTTATCAGCACCATTAATGCATCCCCACAAGCTATGCATTGGAGGAATTTACAAGAAAAGCAGACTTAGCCTCTTCCTTCTTTGGTGTGGTGTAATACTACAAACAACAGCATTTCGCTACATCCCGTTTAAGAAAGTAACGAAGGTACCTGATGCGCAGAGTCTTAGCCCAAGGCTTCCTCGAACAACTCCGCAGAGGTCCACTTCCAGAAGAGGCCCTACACTTTGTTTTCCTTCCTTTTTTGTTTTTTTCTTTTCTTTCTCTTTGTTGATTTTTTTTTTTTTTCTCTTCAAACAAAGTATACAGTAAAAGAAACAGATTTCAGGGGGGGAAAAAGTCCATTATCAGTTTAGTAAATTTTCTTGTGTATAGACACACCATTATAAAAATGAGATCACAGCTGGGGAGTTAGCTCAGTGGCACAAGCGCCTGCCTGGCAAGTGTGAGGTCCTGAGTTCGATCCCCAGTACAAAAAAAAAAATGAGATCACACTCATTTTTTGATACCTAGCATTTCATGACCTGACCCTGCCTCATTAATAAATAATTTTCTGCTACAGGCGTCTACAGCTTAACATCTCTAACGGATCATAGAAATGTCCCCTGAGAACCTGAGCAGCCTAAGTTTTTAAAAGTGCTTTTATGAGGGGTTGGGGATTTAGCTCAGCAGCATAAGCGCCTGCCTTGCAAGCAGGCAGTCGTGAGTTCGATCTCCGGTACCGATAAAAAAGTAAAAAGACAAAATAAATAAATAAAAGTGCTTTTATGTACACACATTCCCAGACTGCATCCTTCATCACCACCATGGAGAGTCAGTGCTGGCAGTGAGCCTGTGGTGACCATCCAGAATGTGAGCGCAGAAGGGGCTGAGATCCACCGTCTTGTGACAGCAGCATACCTAGGTTACTCTTCTTGATCAATTTTCACAAAAATCTTTATGGCAAAAAGTACTGGAAGCTGTAGGGCATAGGGTTATGCATACTTCATGGGTTCTCATCCCTCTCTTACCATTCTAAGCCTCACTTTTTCCTCCTCCCTCTCCTCTCCTTTCTTCTCCCCTCCCCCTCCCTCCTCCTCTAACTTTTTCTGTACTAGAAATCAAATACAGGGACTGCTGAGCTACATCCTCCCAGATCTTGTCATTTCTTTTTTTTCCCTTACAAGAGATTGAACTCAAGTCCTTCCCACTGAGCTACATTCCCAGGCCTTTTATTCTGAGACAGGATCTCACTAAATACCCAGGCTAGCCTCAAACTTGAGATCTTCCTGCCTCTGCCTCCCAGGTAATTGTGATTACAGGCAAATTCCACCATCTTCAGCTTCATCTCTAAAGTAATTAAGACCACTCCATGGACTTGCTGAAAGGATTGAGTTAGTTAACAGACATAAAGAACTTGTAACAGTTTCTGGTGATAAGCTACTCTGAACCTTATACAAAAACTAGTGTCCGATGGTAAATTATCCCATTTTTAAAGATAATCCAACAGACAGGGCTGGGGATTTAGCTCAGCAGCATAAGTGCCTGCCTTGCAAGTGTGCGGTCATGAGTTCGATCCCTGATACCAGTAAAAAAGGAAAAGACAAAAAAAAAAAAAAAGATAATCCAATAATATTTGAGCGGGTCTTAAAAGTGAAAAACATTCTAGGGCTGGGTGGTGGTGATTGTGGCCCAATATGAATGTAACTAACACCCCTGAACTGTGTGCTTCACAGGATCAAGATAATAAATTTTATTTTGATTATTTTACCACAAAAACTGAGACAGAGTGGTAGACCCCTAGATTTATTCACTAAAAATGTCCTATGGTGAGACTGATAGGCAGTTCAGGGTGATTTTGCCTAACAACTGTGGGCAGCTGTTTGCTTAGCTGTACAACAAATGTTTATTTGGCTCGAATGCAGTTCCGTCCTGGTGTATCATTCTTTTCACATCACCCTTCCCATTTCCCGTCCGCGGAGTATATTCTGTTTTATGATTGTGATGGAACAAGATACAATTTCAGCCAACCCTCCTGACAGTGCTGGGAAGTTCCGGCACCAGGTGCTGGTGTGCTTCCCTTCAGATCTCTAGCAGGTCTGGTAACACGCAGCGGGGTGTTGCATTAAACACTTGGACTTTTAACTGCAACCATTTTTCCTGTTCCCAGTGATTAACAATAATAATCTCAAAGTGTGTATATAATTGTGCATATTTGCAGTGTGTATAAATACTGTTTTAAAAGGTAAAGGTGGGGCTGGGGATTTAGCTCAGCAACATAAGCACCTGCCTTGCAAGCAGGCAGTCATGAGTTCGGTCCCCGGTACCGATAAAAAAAAGGAAAAGACAAAAAAATTATTTAAAAGGTAAAGGTGGGGAGAGCTAGGATTAGGGGTAGGTGCTAGAGCAGATACATTTTGGGAAATCCTTCGTAAAAATTAATACAACATTACCAGAACAAAATTATGTGTGAATTTACCCCAAATAAGAACAGAAATCACGAACAAGTTATTAGAACGTTAGATTTGGATCTCTGTTCTAAGATCTCAGGGTGGTTTAGCACGAATGCTTCCTGACTGAAACTTGGCTTCTGTTACTTACTCTACAACCCCAGGATTCAATCACCTGTGTATCCAGAGCCCTGAGCTTACACTTCATTGCCTCCTTGTAAATTTCTATCTAGGAAGCAGGAGAGCAAGGAGAGCAAAGGTAATTCTCTTACAGCAACCTCACAGTTTAAAGTAATACGGGCCATGCTTTTTAAAATGTATAGTATATTCTTCTATCAGTGGTCACATAAGATCAGAAAACTTGGTGGTTCAAAACAACACAAATTGGTTGTCCAACAGTTCTGAGGCAGAACTCCAAACTCAGCCTTAATGGGCTGAGGTGAGATTGCTGAGCTCCTGCTGCCTGTGGTTTTTCCACGTTGAGGCAACTGCTCTCCAAACCTTAGAGACTATCAGGTTTGGAATTTTCACCTATAGAAAGTAGAATTGCAATTTGCACAGAAAAAAAACAATTGAAGGGACAAGGATCTCACCAGCTACTCCTCAGAGGACTAATATCTAGACTATATAAAGAACTCAAAAAACTAGAGCCCCCCCAATTTAAAGACAATCCAAAAACATGCATATGAAATGAATAGATGCTTTTCAGATGAAGAAATGCAAACAAAATAAAAATATGAGAAAATACTCAGTATCACTGGTCATTTGTGAAATGCAAATTAAAACAAGATTTCATCTATCAAACATCAACCGATAAATACTAGGGAAAAAAGAATCTTCGTTGTTGGTGGGAATCAGAAATCAATATACAAATTCCTCCAAAACCTAAAAATTGATGTTCCATTTGACCCAACTATCCCCCTTCTGGGTATTTCCCCAAAAGAGTTAAAAGCATCATACTAAAGTGATATACGCATGTCCATGTTTATAACAGCATGATTTATAGCAGCTAGATCTTGGAAACAACTCGTGTGGTCCTCAACACATGAATGGATAAACAATGTGTTTTTTTATATACAATGGAATACTACTTAGCCATAAAGAAGACTAGGCATGTTTAGGTAAATAGAGGCACCTTTATAATGTAATATTACGTGAAATAAATCAGACACACAAGTTTAAATATCACATTGTTCTTCTTGAGTGAAAAAACCCAAAGGGTAAAGAAGGAGAACAATGGAGGACAGACACTGAGAAGCAGGAAAAACATGTTCCAGTGGGGAGGGGAACAGAGCAGGGGAGAGGGGGAAGAGAAGAAAGGAACCAAGGATTAAAAGAAAAAGAACAGAAGAAAAAATGGGAAACAAGCTTTCGTAAGTGGGGAGGGGGAAGAAAAGTTGAAGGGAGGGGAGGAGAATGGAGGAAACATGAATTAAGATACGTTATGTACAGGTT